TGAAAAAGTGTTAGATGTTGAGCCAATGAGTAGACTTTGTAAGCAATGTCAACTACGCGAAGATTTAAAATCTAATAATTCAGAGAGCTACAAAAATTGGTACAAATCTCAAAGTTATCCAGCTGTGAAATTTACTAATCCTGGTATTGAAGTTTAAAAGTTAGAATGTGTTGTGCATGTTCAGAAACGAGTTGGGACATGACAAAGAACATTAAAATAAAAAACATGAAAAACCTCTGTGGCCGTGGAAAGTTAACAAACAGTCTTATTGATAAGCTTCAGAATTATTATGGGATTGTATATAGCATGAGATAGGACTTGAAAATATCTTTTTCAGGTTACCTCATCAAAGGAAAATAACAATCACACTCACTGTCCAATTGGTGAAAACAGTTGGTTCAGATATCATAAAGATAAAGCAACAGGCAAATCAACATACAAATAAGGTGCAGGACTTTCACTATCAATTATAAAACATTTAAAACCAATATATGCAGATTTAAGTGAAGAGTATTTGTTACGTAAATGTTTACATGGGCAGACACAAATTCAAAACGAAAGTCTAAATGCAATGATTTGGGTTCGAATCTTAAAAACAAAGTATGTCAGTCTAACACAGTTAAAATTTGGAACATACAATACTGTAGCAAACTTTAATATTGGGAGAAAAAGTTCTTTTTTAATTTACAAACAGTTAAATATGACACCTAGTAAATATACATCAAGTTTGTGCGATAATCAAAATTGAAAAAGTATTTATTTAGCTGGATATAAAAATCTAGAGTCATCCAAGAAGCGGCGAAAGATTCTACGAGGATTATCAAAAGCATCAAAGGACAAATATGAAAACTTTGAAGGAAGCCAATATTCCAGCCAGAAGTCCCTGGGTCATTCTGAAACTCTATTTTAAACATAATTTAGTTATATTTTATATTTTTTGTTAAATTAAAATTTTTTTTTTCTAAATTTACGTTTTTCTCAAAATAAGGTTTTTAAATGTCCCGGCTGTGATAACTTTGGAACCGCTTGGTGTTAAATTATGAAATTTTTTAGTAATTGTCCTATTTTATACCTTCTGTGATTTGAACATTTACTTCTATGAAATACTTGACAGAACACATTCTACGCCTATTTCAATTGCCTAATTTAAAAAAAAATTTATTAAACGATAATATATTTGCCCCCTGAAGAACTAAATGTCGTATTTTTCATAAAATTTTAGGTTCAGATCACAGTTCAAAGTATTAGTTAAAGGGAATTGCAGTATGACAGTTTGAATAAATGTAGTTCTTCGTATAAGTTAGCCGGGGCATTAACTGTTTTTTGGTTATTTTTTCAATATTTTCTTGACATCAATGGCAACAAAACACAATTTTTTAAATTTTTTTTTCTGAAATATAAAATTTTGACATTATATGTTGTTTAAAATCAATTTTACTGTTTGAGCATGAGTTTTAACATTTTTGGGGTACTTCCCCCTTAAGGTTGTTAGAGCATGCTACTGCTCAAAAACTTCTTAAAATCTTTTAAAATAATTAACTCATGAAATGCTACAGATTTTTAAGTTTGTTTTCCCCCAATTCAAGATGGTTTATTTTAAAACAATACTTTTTAATACGGTATGACGTCACGCCGACGATAGCGCAGCCATGCATACAAAAATGAATTGTTTGTCAGAATATCAATCCCGAAATTCTAATTAGTAAAACTTTGTGACGTCGACCAAACGGTACGCTATTCGACTGGACTAAGTGTATTTTGTTTGTCTTGTTTCATGAATTTTTTCTTCAAAATGATAAATACATATTCCAGAGAATTCAGATGGTTTCCATTTAAATCTGTTTATAAACTTGATTAACCGTGAGCATAAATCTATGTCTGAGAAAAAATTGAACACTGTTTTAGCTATAAAACCCTCATATATATTATCTTTTTTTTTTTTGATTAATCAACATCCCAAGTCCAATGAGTAAAAAAATTACAACGGTTTTGTAAAGTTTATTACTAATGCTGTTACTAAAGTTGTTAAAAAAATAATGCTTGAGGCTGCAAAAGAAATAAAAGTTAATAACAACAACATTGTTGATACTGGAGTTTCAGCTGATAGAACTTGGCAACGTAGAGGATACAGTTCACTGAATGGAGTTGTGACAACATTGTCGATGGATAATGAAAAAGTGTTAGATGTTGAGCCAATGAGTAGACTTTGTAAGCAATGTCAACTACGCGAAGATTTAAAATCTAATAATTCAGAGAGCTACAAAAATTGGTACAAATCTCAAAGTTATCCAGCTGTGAAATTTACTAATCCTGGTATTGAAGTTTAAAAGTTAGAATGTGTTGTGCATGTTCAGAAACGAGTTGGGACATGACAAAGAACATTAAAATAAAAAACATGAAAAACCTCTGTGGCCGTGGAAAGTTAACAAACAGTCTTATTGATAAGCTTCAGAATTATTATGGGATTGTATATAGCATGAGATAGGACTTGAAAATATCTTTTTCAGGTTACCTCATCAAAGGAAAATAACAATCACACTCACTGTCCAATTGGTGAAAACAGTTGGTTCAGATATCATAAAGATAAAGCAACAGGCAAATCAACATACAAATAAGGTGCAGGACTTTCACTATCAATTATAAAACATTTAAAACCAATATATGCAGATTTAAGTGAAGAGTATTTGTTACGTAAATGTTTACATGGGCAGACACAAATTCAAAACGAAAGTCTAAATGCAATGATTTGGGTTCGAATCTTAAAAACAAAGTATGTCAGTCTAACACAGTTAAAATTTGGAACATACAATACTGTAGCAAACTTTAATATTGGGAGAAAAAGTTCTTTTTTAATTTACAAACAGTTAAATATGACACCTAGTAAATATACATCAAGTTTGTGCGATAATCAAAATTGAAAAAGTATTTATTTAGCTGGATATAAAAATCTAGAGTCATCCAAGAAGCGGCGAAAGATTCTACGAGGATTATCAAAAGCATCAAAGGACAAATATGAAAACTTTGAAGGAAGCCAATATTCCAGCCAGAAGTCCCTGGGTCATTCTGAAACTCTATTTTAAACATAATTTAGTTATATTTTATATTTTTTGTTAAATTAAAATTTTTTTTTTCTAAATTTACGTTTTTCTCAAAATAAGGTTTTTAAATGTCCCGGCTGTGATAACTTTGGAACCGCTTGGTGTTAAATTATGAAATTTTTTAGTAATTGTCCTATTTTATACCTTCTGTGATTTGAACATTTACTTCTATGAAATACTTGACAGAACACATTCTACGCCTATTTCAATTGCCTAATTTAAAAAAAAATTTATTAAACGATAATATATTTGCCCCCTGAAGAACTAAATGTCGTATTTTTCATAAAATTTTAGGTTCAGATCACAGTTCAAAGTATTAGTTAAAGGGAATTGCAGTATGACAGTTTGAATAAATGTAGTTCTTCGTATAAGTTAGCCGGGGCATTAACTGTTTTTTGGTTATTTTTTCAATATTTTCTTGACATCAATGGCAACAAAACACAATTTTTTAAATTTTTTTTTCTGAAATATAAAATTTTGACATTATATGTTGTTTAAAATCAATTTTACTGTTTGAGCATGAGTTTTAACATTTTTGGGGTACTTCCCCCTTAAGGTTGTTAGAGCATGCTACTGCTCAAAAACTTCTTAAAATCTTTTAAAATAATTAACTCATGAAATGCTACAGATTTTTAAGTTTGTTTTCCCCCAATTCAAGATGGTTTATTTTAAAACAATACTTTTTAATACGGTATGACGTCACGCCGACGATAGCGCAGCCATGCATACAAAAATGAATTGTTTGTCAGAATATCAATCCCGAAATTCTAATTAGTAAAACTTTGTGACGTCGACCAAACGGTACGCTATTCGACTGGACTAAGTGTATTTTGTTTGTCTTGTTTCATGAATTTTTTCTTCAAAATGATAAATACATATTCCAGAGAATTCAGATGGTTTCCATTTAAATCTGTTTATAAACTTGATTAACCGTGAGCATAAATCTATGTCTGAGAAAAAATTGAACACTGTTTTAGCTATAAAACCCTCATATATATTATCTTTTTTTTTTTTGATAAAGTGGTTATTTTTGTAACCGTTTCTGCAAGAATTACGCAGCACGTTTTAGGGCATTTTATAAGACAAACAAATATTATAAAAATATAAAATAATTGCTTGTTTTACAGCAATTCCACATATCTCGATGTTTTGCTTTTGTCGAGGAAATGCAATTTTACAATATCTGTGTATAAAATTTTTTTTAAAGTTATATAATTTTTGCAAAAAAATATGTTTTCTTTACGATAAAGTTTTATTTTTTTAACTTTCTATTTTATGAGTTTGCAAAAATAATATAAGCCGCGGCGTGACAGTCCGATGTCACGTTGTGACGCGCGTAATTTAAGCTATATCTGTAAAAATATAAACAAAAAATTATAAAAGTTTAGTTTTTATAATACAGGTTATTGCAATATTATAATAAAGTATTAAATTTTTTTTTTTTTTTAAATATATTTATCTTTTGTTTTCTCGATTAAAAACGCATTAACGCGTAGCATGGATTGCTGTTTTGATCAAATAACTACAGCTATAATTCTTTTAAAAGTTACTTTAAGCAAATAAAGAACTCAACTAAAAACTGGCTTACTTGCATACAACAAGTTCTGCCGTGTATTTAAGAAGGCCATGATGGGCCTTCTTAAATACAGTTTTAACTTAAACTTCGATATTTGTCGATTTCAATTACGTTTTAAAAAACGTTTTAAACGTTTAAACTTTAAACATTGATATGTTTCGATTTCGAAAACGTTTTAAAAAACGTTAAAAAGTTTTTATGAGTAAGTTATTACGGAATGTTAAAATAAAAACTATTTATCTGTGAAAAATGCCGATTGTTACTCGGTCTTCTCTAAATACGCTATTTATTAAATACGCTATTATCAAATAATTTCTGTATATTATCAATTAGTAATAAAATAATTCAAAAGTAAAATGCAATAATAATTATCAATTATTATAAACTTATTTATAGGAACCTCAACATTTTTACCTAATGCAGGAGTCTGGAAAATCTTGGCACGTAAAATTTCAAGAACTTTTGAAATGTGGAATTTGTCTCGAACTTTATAAAGATCCAAAAACATTAGCTTGTCAACATTCATTTTGCAAGGAGTGCATTTATTCAGCTTTTCCAAATGATGAAGGTGTTTTTTTATGTCCGACATGTCGCTGTCCACAATCTAATCTTGCTTCTAGAAGCGATATAGACAATATGATATGTAGTTTGCATCTTCGTCAATCCTTGGAATTATTTCTTGAAAATTCTTGTAGCAGGTTATTTTTTAGAAATAATATAAATAAAATAAATTTGAATACTTACTAAACAGTGCGAAGTTAGAAACAAATGATTAAATAGCAATCACACACACAGATTACTTCAGAGGTTCAGGAATTATCAGTGATTTGAAAATTGATAAAGTTTTATATTTACTTAAGGATAAGTAAAAGGAACACAAAATGTCAAGATTTATTATAAGCTTTAATAAACCCCTAATTTTTTAAGTAAGTACTTAAAATGCTAAATAATTAATACAATGTTAAGTGCAGATATATTGTACGTAATCCTTGAAAATCAATAGTCTATTTCAATAAATTTAAAAAACTTTTACGTTTTATATTCCCTACTGAATATATATTTTCAAAAAATTATCAAATCGTTTTATTATTCTTAAGACAAGGTTAAATAATAGTTGTATAAAATAATTCTAGCTTTCTCAAAATTAACTTTTAAAATGTTTTGAGATGTTCCAATTAAGAACTATTAAACTAAAGTAGTTGTTTTTTTAAAAAAAAAATTCTATAAAATAACATAAAAAAAGTTTCAATTAGTTTTTAATGAATAAAGAGTATAAATATATCTTAATTTTAGTTATATTTTTAAATCAAAAACTATAACATATTTGTAAGCATTTTAGTGTTTATCAGTTAAACAATAGTTAAGATTAATTAATGAACAAAAAAAAAAAACAGTCTACTTGAATAAAATTGTTTGATTTCTTGTCCATTGTTTTTGAATTTGTTCCCCAACTTGAAAAGATAATACATCAATACTTGCAATCAATACTATACATCAATAAAAAAATTAAGTTCCTAATTTGTTCAAATGTTTACAAACCATTTCTTTTGCGCAGTTAAAAGCGTGGTTTATAGATCCACTATCTCTTTTTTATCATATGAATTTCTAAAATGACATGTTTTGCTTTTATAATTGGATTGTCGTGCATGTAGTTTTATGATCCAATGTTTGTGGTAAGAACTCTAGCATAGCTTACACTCTTTTACTTCTAGAGCATTCATGGCTTAGCCTCAGATTGCTAACAGGATAAATAACTTAAACTTAAATATTTTAAAGTTAAATAATTATAAGATGATAATAATTGAACTTATGAAAAACCAGTGAAAATTGTTTTCCATCATTAATTGACATTTTTTTCAAATCTAAAATCAATACAAAAATTTAAATGCAATTAGTTACAATCAGATAGGTGCTAGCCAAAACAAAGCAACTTGCTAGTCACATCAAAGCCAAAACTGATTTTTAATTACAAAACTAGAATGAAGAAAGGAGTTAAAGATAATAATTTGCTGTTTCATTTGTATTGGCTATTTTTTTATTTATTGTTCTAAAATTTTGTAGTTGTTTTTCTTTTTCTCTAAAAATGTTCATAAAACTTTTATCAAGTGCCTTTTATTAAAAGGCACTTGATCATCTTTTTTGTTTGTTTTAAACCTAATAACCTTTATAAATATTTCGCATTAAAAAAAAATCTTTAAACAAAATTTGTAAATTTTATTAGTAATGAGGTTCAAAGGCTTGAAGTGACTTTGCCCAGTTTCCCCAGGTGCACTGACCAATAGTATAATGAAATATTAATAGAGAAAACACTATTATCTAAGGATGATGAACAGTGATAAAATAGAAATCAATTTTTACATCCCTCTTGCCAGTCCAATAATGATCCTCAGAGCAGTACTTTTTTCTGCAACTGTGGTAAATTAAAAACAAAGATGTGTGTGAACCAATTCAAAATCAAAAATAAATTTGTTTTTGAATACTTTTTTTTTTTTCTAGTCATTGATAAAATTAGCATGGCCAATGCTGGTTAAGTTCAAAGTTTTTGTCACAGAAAACTAATTTATTTAATTGTTTAAAAATAGTTATCTGAATCGACTACATCAAAGATCATAATCTTTTGATCACGAAGGAAATTACTTTACTGCAGTTATATATCATTAAATTTCTCTTATTAAAAACAATGCTCCTAAAAGGTATCAATGATAGGTTAGCATTTATCAGTATAAAAGTCCCATGGTCTTTAGGAATGCTTTAAACAAATGAGTATTTAAAAATCTTTTACAAAGTTAAATATTTGTTGTATTAAAATTAATTAGTTCTATATATAAATGTTATATAAATGTTGTAAAATTTAATATATAAATATTATAAATCTTATTTGCTTTTTATTTTCAACCATTAAAGATATTTACATAAGTGGATTGACAAAGTTTTTTGCATGCTAAAGATGTTTTATAATGAAAGGATAATAACAAGTATGCAATACTTTTAAGTGTTTTCTCCCATTTATTAGATCTGTACAAATATTTTCTTTACCCCCTTCATGTTGTTGTTATAAAACCTTTGGATAATGTTTTTCTAACATTTTTCCAATGTTTTGTTTGATTATAATTTTGTGTATGATAATATTTTGTTAAAAACTTAAAAATCATACTACTACTACTACTACTACTACTACTACTACTACTACTACTACTACTACTACTACTACTACTACTACTACTACTACTACTACTACTACTACTATAAAGTTCACTATTATTATTAAGATAATAAAAATCAAGATAATAATATTTTATAATTATAATGATTGTTTTAGTTTTGTTAATATAAATGATTTACTTAGATAAAAATGAAATTTATAAATTACTGCATTTTCTTTATTTTCATTTATAGCAACTTTGAAGAATCATCAAAGAAGGAATATAATAATGGTAGGTCTCATTTTGTTTGAGTTTTTAGCTTTAGGTTGTAAGAATAAAAACTAGAGTTTGATATTCTATTAGAGTTTAACAGCCTTCCTAACCCAAAAATTATACTTTATCCAACTCGAGAAAGTTATATAATTTTTCAGACTTTTCTTTAAAATAATTCATTTTCTAATTTCTGATTAAAAGCCCTAAAATATTATTTATATTTTTTTATTTTCTAGTAAGAAAATATTTCTTATGTTTTTTACAAAAAAAAAATTATCTTCTATATAAAGTCAATTCTACTCCTATCAGGTTATCATCAGAAACACATCTGATAATGCATTAGTTGTCTCAGTTTAGTTGCTGGTAGGGAAGTCAGTATGAGGGTCTAGTGCTCTCCCTTATCTGCCTTATCTTATCTCTTTTATAACACAGATCAATTACTGATTGTTTTATCAATAGCTTTAAATAAGGCAAAACACTAATAACTTTTTATGTTGGTTTGAGATTTGATAGTAGCTTTATTGTTCCCGTTTAAGCAACTTTTTTTTTACCATTAGTTAAGAATATGTACCATGTAGTTTTAAAAACAGCACATATTAAAGACAGGTTTTTTACATGTATCTAGTGTATACATGTCTGGATAAATTTTTCAATTGTATTTTGGACTGCCATAAGATTCTTAATAAAATTTTTTAGAGAACACAACTTCAATCTTGTATATTGATTATTATAATATATAAAAATATAGTTACTATGACGATGTTGTATTATCAGCTGTATAATGATGACTTTGTGACATTTAGCAATTAAATAAACTATAAATAAGTTGCATTAGGTTTTCTATTATTGACAAATATTATAATACATTATGATTTTTGCTTTTTTTTTATTGTAACAGAGGTCTTATAGTTTTACATTAAGGTATCAAATTCCAAAAAGTATTTCAGTTTAAACTTAAATTTAATTTTTTAAATGTTATATGTAAAATCTATAATGCATAATATAATATTTAACAATTATTGAGATGTAAGACACCGTATTAATTTAGAACGAATTTAGGCTTTTTAGTCATTTTTTAGTGCTATAAATGTTATGGTACTAAATTATTTTATTGCTAAAATATATTTATTTTTATTTGATAGTTGTAAATAATAAAATTTCAAAGAAATGTGAAAATAAAATTTAAAAATAAAATAAAAGTAGAAAGTTAAAGAATACAATTTAAATTATACTGTGAAAAAAAAACACTGTAAAATGAAATATAGCAATTAATTATCAATAAGAAAGATTAAATTGAAATAGAAATTTATATTTATTTGAAATTAGTTATACAAAATATAGATTGTACGATATTAAAATTTTTTTATATATTTAATTTTTATTTACATATTTATGTTTATTGTACTTAATATGTTGTCATCAGTATCAAGGTGTTTTACCCATTATTGAAGAATGTTTTTCTAATAGGCGCTAAATTCATTTTTTCAAAAATTAGGTTTTTTCTAAGGTAAAAATCTAAATACGTTAGTATGAATAAAATTAATTGTTTATCGTTTTTATTTACGGTTATAAAATTATTGATAAAAAGTTTTAGTTTTTTTTATTTTTCTTAAAATAATAAAATGTTGCTTAGTGCCTTTTAGAAAAACGCTCTTTGATTTGTAGTTAAACTTCAAATTAGCTATAAATATATGTAAATGATAAAAATATTTAGATACGATAGATCAAAAAAAAGATGGGCTTTCTGCCACCAAATGTATACAAAAAGATATAGGCAGTTTTAAGAATTATTATGAAAATTCAAACAATCCTGAAAATCCTCCAAGTTGTTCCAGTCAGGAGGAAGATGATTTAAAAAAGAATTCTGATTCAAGTTCTGATGATGAATTAAGTTCTCATGAAAATGCAAACTTTCCGTGCCAAAAGTTAAAAAAAACATGTAAGCAAAAAGTGATCAGTAAATTAGCTAAGTTATGCTTTACAAACAACATAGAGAACGATTTTAATGAGCTGTTATCAAAGCGGAAAGATTGTTCATCTAAAATAGAAGAAAATTATTCTGAAAAGAATAAAAGTAAACCAGATTCTAGAGAGCAAAACATTAATGTTAGCGATGATAATAGCTACATTTCAGGTACAAGTATTCTTGGCAGTGCAATATCGTCCTTTCTTTCTCAACAAAATGCTACCAAAGTAAAGGTAAAAGAAACTGCATCTACTGCATCCTCGCATACTACTTATAAAGAAATGGAATCAGCTGAAAATAACGAAGAAAATCGAGGGTTTAGATTAATGCATGGAAACAAAATTGGCTTTTTGTTGTAAATTTGTTTTAAATTGTTTTTTTTAAGTTTTGTAAAATTCATTTTTGTATATAGTTTTTTGTAATTTCTTATACTATTTCTATTATCAAGAAATGAATTACCTAATGGTATTTATTTTTATTTAAGTTTTAGTTAAAATATATTTAGTGCTATTAGTATTCTGTAATTCTTTTTTAAAACTACAACCCTTACGCCAACCCAAGACACTCTACACAGTTTCATTCTTTTTTTTCTTTCAATTTTAAATATTCTTTAATAAAACTCTTTGAAAAATTTAAATTTCAGTACCTTTCATCTGCAATCCACTTGTCTCAGCTTTGCATTCCGTATAATTACGTTCTTGATATTTCCCAGTAAAGAATTGATAAATAAGGTAGACTTGGTAAACCAAGTATTTTCATTTCTGTACTTTTGGTCATATATCGGGAAAATATATGCTGACTTTCTTGCTATAGTTGAGTCGCAGTGTCAAATTGAAATTAGTTGCGGTTAGTGACAGCCACAAAAAATAATATATAACAGTTTTAAGTCTATTTCGTTTACTTTTGAGTACTTCTTAAAAGTAAACATAGACTAAGTCTATGTTTACTTTTAAGAATAAGTACTTAAAACGGGAAAAATAAGTACTATGAACGGGAAAGGGACGGGAAAAATAATCACGTAGGCATGCGTAGAATAACTTTTAATATGTCTGAAGGAAAAATATTTTTACATCATTAATCTTAATTTTAATATCATTATCAGAAAACTAAAGGCTAGTTTCCACTCATCCGATTTTTTACGGGAACGGCTAGAAAAGGGAAAAATAATCACGTGAGCATACGTATTTAAATACGTATGCTCACGTGATTATTTTTCCCTTTTCTACCCGTTCCCGTGAAAAAACGGATGAGTGGAAACTAGCCTTTAGTTTTCTGATGATGATGAATTCTTTTCATGAAAAGAATTTCCTTATTAACTCTTCTAAAGTGACAAAATTTCCTTATTAACTCTTTGGAAGTTACCAAGTCTTCAACCTTTAATACATTGAAATATCACAAAATTGGCTGTATGTTTACAATGTAAACATTTTATTCGTTTTCAAATATAATTTCGAAAAATATAACAAATTATTTTGTTGATAAATTATTACAAATTATCAAAAAATTTGTAACAAAAAGAAAGGTGTCTATAAAGTTTAAAATATAAACAAAATCAAATGTTTAGTAGTGTAAATATAAGGTCCGGGCGGCAGATATCTAAGAGGTGCCAAATGAAAAAGGTACCTAAAAAGAAAAAAAAAAGATCCTTCATATATAATATAAGGAAATTGTGATAAATAAGGTGGCCCTGTATTTACGTCTTCCTTCCAGGCCCCTTAGTGTCTGTCCTTAGTGATTGCAGTATCGGAAAGTTTGGAAATCACTGATCTAAACTCAAGATCTGCTTTTTTTTAACGCAGCAGCAACAAAATTCTACACAAAAATGGGAATATTGAAAGTCAATTGACAATACTTTGAGACCTTCATCGTGAAGCGGCCATTAATAAGATATTAATGCAAAACATTTTGTTATGGTAACATTTAGAAAATGTTTTAAATATATGTAAGCACCGACCTTAAGCTTTGTTTTAAAATGAACTGAACAAAAAATTAAAAACAAGACAAAAACTTGTTACTTAAAAGAAATTAATTAACTTCAGATCTCTTTTTGTCTACTTAAAAATGTAAAGAGTTATTTAATAACTGAAAATTTGTATTTTTTATTTTTTTTGTGTATATATTTAGGTGCTCCCAGAAGTCCTTACGATCTTATCATAGAGCACCGCGAGAGAGCATTTAACAGGAAATTCACGCCTCCTTTCGCTTGTTGGGCTGGAGCTGGCGTCTCTGGGTTCTGAGCCAGAACTCTAACCACTGCACCACGGGTGCTCATTTAACTACATATGTGTTTTAAAACTTCTAATAGAGTCTAGAATAACAAATTGTTTAAGCTAGGGGTCGGCTCTATTTAACATACATATATTTTTAAAAATTGTTAGACTTTTATTAATTTAATTTCTGAAACAACGAATGAAATCTTTCTTCAGGTTCTAATGTTAAGTTCTTACAAACTCGATTCAACATCATCATTGATAGTTTTATATTTATGCAACAAGAATTGCATAATATAAAATTCTTAGAGAGGTTCAGTGATATTTGATTTATAATAAGGTTTTTTTTAAAATTAACCTTTATTCTTGGTCAGTTATGTCTCAACAATAATATATACATTATATTCCCAGTATGCACGCATCGTCAGTAAGATGTCCGAGGGACGACGCTTTTGTGATTGTGATTTTGTCATGAAAATGGATCCAAAAATGTTCCGTGAAACTCTACAAAAATGTTATACATCCATTTCTTCTGGTTAAGAATGGAGATGTGTAATTCCTCCTTAAGAACTCTATTTACTAATGAAGATTATAAAATAATTTTCAAATGTTTTTTATAAGAAACCTGAAATTTCTGCCTGGTAAAAAAAACATGGAGTTAATTGGCATGGGTACAATGGAGGTGGATTAGTTGTCATAAATTCTAGCAAAGTTCGGTAGCTACTTCCTAGTTTGGAAGAATTTATATTATATCGTTTTTCATCTCATCATCCAGTTGTTGAGCTTTTAAAATCATTTACTGCAGGTATATTTAAAATATGTATTATATTTTTTATTTTACAAGCTATTTAATTATAGTTAAAAAAGAAACTTTTATTGAATCTAAAGCAATTTCACTAAATTGACATTTAATAGTAAACATATGCTTTGGAATGAGACTCATAAAGGTTATATTGGTGCTAGAGCATCATATACAAGGAGTTTAAAGGTATTAGTTTAAAAAAAAGAGAAACATATTTATATTCAAAACTTATATTTAAAATAAAATAACTTTTTTACATGTTAAGCGGTGAATTTAAATAAAAATTTAGGAAGCTTGAAAATATGTGAGACTGCATTCAATCACAACTTTTCTATAGGATGAAAAGATCAAATAATTGAACATCACCTTATCATGTTTTTAAATAGAGCCAAGCTGCCATTGGATATATTTACACCATAATATGCTGAAAACTCTAAGAAGGTTCTCAAACTCAGATTTCAATCTAAACCACGGAGAAAATTTTAGAAAAGTAGTAGTGGACTACTAAAGTCACGGAATTTAAATTTATTTATTCTTGTAATTATACATAACTTACAATAATATAAATATCTTGTACATTATATTACATTATTTAATATTATAGATTATAATATATAGTACCATTAAAGATTTTATAATTTTGTACAAATATCTCTCTCTATATATATAAATATGTTTAGTGGCAAGATGAATGTTTCATTGCCAAAATAAACATTCATCTTGCCACAATGCATCTCATCGTGAAATTTTTCTTGTTGGAAAAAGAAATGGAATAAAAAAGATTTTAAATTTTTAGTTTTATCTAATTTCAAATTAATTTTATATAAGTAACAATTATAAAGTCATAAAATTATATATATTTATTATAAATTACATTAATTTTAATGCATTTTTCTACTTTTGTTTTAGAGACAAGATTGTTGACTTGAAAAAAAAAGATTTGAACTAACACCGGAACCATTTTAAGTACAAATTTGGTTTTAAAAAAAGAAAATTTTTCAAGAATGCTAGAGGAGGTATTTGATATAAGTTAAAACAATTGTGAAGACATTATTATGAAAGATAAAACTAAAGATTTAAAAACTAGAAAAGAAGATGTAGATTTTCTTTAAGACCAGAAAGGAGCGCGTGTTCAGAAAATGTTAGGTCAAGATAATGACCAAGATGAACAGTATCTACACTGTAGATACTGTTCATCTTGGTCATTATCGAAAGTATTTAAAATTTCATCATCTTGGTCATTATCGAAAGTATTTAAAATTAAAAGTTGTGTTTTTAAAGTACTCAGCAACCAACTCTTTCTGTTTTCTCATGGACTCTTTTGTTTTGTTTTTTACAATTTTTTGTGAAATTTTATCTTGACCTAACATTTTCTGAACACGCTCTCCTTTCTGGTTGTTAAGAAATAACCTAATGTGCTTGTCAGTATTAGTGTAAGGAATTCCTGCTTTTTGCCAAATTTTCTTCACCTCGTAAAGGGCACATTGACAACATTTTTGGAGACAACCACCTATTTCAGCACATTGTGCAGTAAAAAAATTCCTTGAGAACATGAAGCTATACTAACTGAGGAAATATTTGGAAAATCAGCTCTTAGCATAAAATCTCTGTAATGGTAATATTGCAATACGGTTTTTTTTAGTTGGCAATTGTGTAATAGGTATTATTCCAATTTTTTTTCCAACAAGAAAAACTACACAATTAAATATTTTCCCAAATCTATTGCTTGTTGGCATTATTTTAATTTATATTAAAATAAAAATTTTAAAAATTGATTTTTTTAACTTAACCTTTCCCCCCCCCCCCGCCTCTCAAATATACACTGCATGTATTTAATGGGTAGGGCTTACCATTTCCATCATCTTTTGCAATAAAACAAAACATAATCTAAAATTAAATATATAAAGCTACTAAAATAACACTTAAAATATCTTTGAAATATTTGTAAGCGACCCTGCTCCCCTCATTATTTACAAAAAATAGAAATTTGGTATTTTCGGACCGCTGGGACTAACCATAGGAGTACCCGTAAAAACATGTATTAAAAGGAACCAGAAAAATTATTATGGTATTTTTTTTATTGACTTAATTGTTTTATGCCCCACCCTAATATATATATAGGTCCAACACTTTCTGAAAAAATCCCAAAGACCAAAACTTTATTTACTGATTTTCTAGTACCCATTGATAATTGCATTGGTTCAGTTGAGTTGTCTTCTGAATTATTGTTTGAAGAGTTTGAAAGAGCCTTCAAATCTTTAAAAATAATAAAGCAATTGGAGCAGATCAAATAAATGGAAACGTTATTATAGATTGTTTTGAACAGCTAAAAGTTGTTCTTTTTAAAGTTTTTAAAGCTTCTATCCATCAAGGTGTTTTCCCCGAACTGTTAAAAATTGCCAAAATTATTCCTATTTTTAAAGAAGGGGACAAATCAATTATTAGTAACTA